AATGGAAGAATATTCTAATAGTACTCATAAAAATTCAATTGTTATTCTCGAAAAAGAAATTAATGAGGTGTTGGAACTATTGCAGACAATAATGCTACTCATTTCATCTCCGAATATCACCTATTTCATTTTCTGATTTCAAATTTTCAAAATAGAAATAGGACGTTTTAAACCCCTATTGATTTTTGAAATAAGTTAACTTTGAATCACCCTAATGAGGGGTTTCAGATTGAAAAAAAATAGTTTTTCGAAAATAAGTAGGAGCTTAAAAAATCTTATTTGTATATCAAAATTTAGAAATCGGAAAATGAAATGGGAGTGTTTAGAGACTCCCCATTTAACGACAAAAATCATTATTACAAATTTATCGGAAATGAAATAAAGTCGATACATCGCTCATTTGAAAATAAATACGTTATCTATTTCTGTCAAAATTAGATTTCCGCACGATAATTCTGAAACCCCTCAATATATTCATATTGAAGAATAATAAATTTATCAGTAAGACATAAAAAAAAAATTGTGAATTTAACTAAATTAACTGAGGACGTAAAATAATAAGCAATTAAGCATTGAAAATTCGATGTGCAATACCGAACTGATTAATTTTTTCTCCTAAAATTTAAAAATAAGTCAATAAAACAAAAATTTTATTAATTATCAGACAAATAAGTAACTTACCGAATAAAAATTTATAAAGAGCAACACCTCCACTGTAATATGCAATAATACTTCCAACAATATTTATAATCTATTTTACAAATAGTATTTGCACTAACAATTAATATTGCAATTTATTATCTAAAGAAAATCAAAAAACATCACTTACAGAATTGCTTCTATTATATATTATATTGAAATTAAAAATTATAAAGATGGTTAAACATTCAATAATAATTAGCAAGCTAAATTTACCTTTGTTCCGCATTCTCTTCGATAATGTAATGTTGTGCGCCAATTTCTACAGTTAAGTTATATGTAAGATTTGATTTCAACGTTGTAGATTCTAAGAATTAAATAATATTACAAATAATATTGGTATTTGAAAAGCAAACTATTAGATATTCAAGCACTTTTAGGACAGATATTCTTACGTATTTTTGATGCAAGGTAATACTGTAAAGAGTAAGAATTAAATTTACTGTAACCAATATAATTATTAAATTTATGATCTAACGTTTTTCTGACTTTTCTAGAAAACGCAAAATCATAATACTATCATTTTTTATTAATAATATTTAATATTTAAAAAATCTATGGTTTTTTAAATTGATACTTACTTGTAATGGGGATAACTGGTAGAGGTTCGTAGAATTGAGTGATTTTGAAAATTTATCATCAAATGTTTTATTCCATGGATCATGCTCTATTATTGTCTAACGTTAGCTATCATCAATTTCAATATAGGAAAGAACGCATTAATTATATTAAAACTTGCCTGAATCAAATGCATACATTCCAATAGTATATGGTCCCGAATTCACGTTTTCATGTATAGTTATATTAAGATTAATTCGTTGACCTTGGGAATTATGTAATATCATAAATCCATTTGGCAGAAAGTTTCCAACAAGAGGACGACGACTATCACCAATATCCATCTTCTTTGGTTGTGTAATATATTTGTCACAAGACATAACTAAAAATTTTGAATACGGCAGAAGATATAGAGTAAATATAAATTTCAAAAATTATGAAATCCATTATCACGACAATTCAATATCTCAGAAATTCTAATTTATGGAGGTTTGCAGAAAGGTGTAACACTATGGTTTTCGTGATGATGATGAAAAATTACAGAGATTCTAATTGTCTATCGATCATATTTTTCAATCAGTAACGTATATATTTATTCGAAATCTTTTAAATTTTCGGAAAATCAAAAAATCTGCTAAAATCTGTTAATTTTCTGTGATTTTACATCTTTTTACAACCGCCATAAATCTTATAGTAATTCAATAATCAAACTATTCTAGAATTATAAAAAGTAAAAAAAGTCTACTCACAATTGCTTACATCATAAAATTGCGTACAAGTTATATTAAAATTTTTATCATAAGAAAAATAGAAATCTAAAATAATTTATTTTCAAAAAACAAGATCATTAAATAGTTTCTATAGTTCACTCAATAATCATTTGATTTGATTACTTGATTTCTCAAATCGTTAAAATCATTAATCATTATACAAGGAGATTTTATATAACCGTTTTTTAAAACCTCCTGTATAAAAATTTTAAAAATTTAAAACCCGATATTATTAAATCTAGATTTTATTATTGTAAAATCAAAATTCTGAAGAATTTCTAATGCCTCGCATCAGCTCAACCCGACCCGATTTGAAAATTCGGGTCGTGTTAGTTAAATTTTTTAGCTCACTGTGAGTTTTAAAAGCGGAATGTTTGACCATTTGATTATGTTGCACTTGAAGTTGACATCTGCCTGAAATTGCATTGACTGAAATTAGCCCCTGAAATTATTCATTAGTTCAGTAGTTGGCAAGTTCAGTCAGATTTTAATTTCAAGTGGATGTTAACTTTAAGAACAACAATAATAAACATATACAGAACAACTACGTACTTGGAACAGGTAATTTATCACCTTGACTATAAGTGATACTTATAGAAGGTTGCTCAGAAAGTAAATCTAAAACTAATACAACAGATATAAAAGTTATCACTCCTATAACAAAAATAATAAAGACGCGTCGAAACAGAAAAATATGTCTTGAGTCATTTATTTCATCATGTTTTTTAAATAGGTCAGATAGCATTTTTTTCACTAATACTTCAATAAATTTTTTTTGAAATATTTATATAACACATTTTTATTACAATCCTATTATTATAAAATTATCACCTGTTATAATCATTTCTATCAAGGCAACTTTAATATTTTAAATGTATATTTTAAAGTGTGAACTATAAATGTCCGTAATTACGATCAAATTATGAAATGCGCAAACTTTTATGATATCATCTTTGCATTATTTTGTTTAAAAAATCTGGAACGGGTGTAACGTAACACAATCGGCATATTCAAAGCAACAAACGTTCAAAAACCACCTTTAGTATTCTAACTCGAGGTAGGAACGTCCCGAGTGCCCCGAGTTTGTAGATCGTTACACAATTTATTAATGATTTTTTTTTATACG